TAACCAATGTTTCTCTCAATGAAGTGAAAACGTTTACATGCTGCAAGATCGCAAAGCGATGTAAGGGACCACGAATGTGGTTACCACAAACCTACGATCACTCCAGTGTCCTCCTGCTTCCAAACTGAGGTTTTTATCTCCATCCACTTTTTTCACACAATAATGACTTAATGTTAGCGGAAGGTGATACTGAACACCTACACAGTAAACTCTTTATGAAAGTGAACGACAGGACAGTGGATGCAGTGAGCATGATGAAGAACCTGTAATATAGAAATAGCACGCAGCTCCACTGTCCGCTAACCTCAACATTGTCCAATAAACCAGCGTTTTCTTCTTGATCTAATACGGCATAGGAGTAGTACTTCGATACGATAGCAAATATTCTGTGTGAGCAACTCTATGTGCACTTCCCTCTTCATTTCTATCCAACAGTGATTTGCGGTGGTCTATCGCTATATCAAAACAGTGCTTTTATCATCCCAGGCAAGTAGTACCGATTTTAACTCTTTTATTTACTGCCTTTTTCCTCTTAATGGCAGGGTATGTTGTGAAATATAACTTGTATGAAATGCTGAGATATTTGCAAAACTCCGGACCACAGGTGTATGCAGTGGGGAACGAACACGCGCTGTTGTCCTTACCGGAAAGGCAAAGTTACCGGCACAATAAGTGTGCAGTTTGAAGAGAAGGGAATACATCATGAAGGAAGATTCCCTCGCCAATTTTTGTTTTACCGAAGACATTGTTCTTTGTGAACAGTACTACAGAGACAGACCCAGTATTCAAGGAAAGAAACAATAAAGCCCAGCTCACTTAGAAGACTTGATGTGAAGCAGTCATAGTCTCAACTCAATTTAAATGAATGCTACCTACCCATAAAATATTAAATGAATACGGATGGCGTTTTAATAAAAGAACTCTGAAGAATTCCAAAACAACGTGAGCTACCTTTGGGCCTTTTAACCAGGTCACTAACCAGATTGTTTCTCCGCCCAGTGTTACGCTATTTACATACGAGCAAATGTTAACTACATTGAAATTGAGCAAGGAAGACAACCAGAGTTTGAGAAAATAGGATAGATCTGTGTGATAGTTAACAAGGCAGATTAACACACATGCTGGACATTTGGACAAAAACGATAGTGATATTAACTTAAAAATGTTTACTGAACGGGCAACAGTAAAGAAGAGCATATAGTGAAAGCCGACGGATTTTGACAGGAATTTTCTGCTTACGTTAGTATTAAGTTACACCATTGAGAGATGCCTAAGAAAGAGTGGTGTTGAAAATTACATGGCTGTTATTAAGCATCCATCCTGTACCATACGCCGTGAATTAGTCCGCAATCGCTTTTATAATCGTTTATGCAGCTCAGGAAACTGTATGATCTGTCCTAACGAGAGAGACGGGGATTGCGTGAGTTCAAGTACAATATACTCGATCTCGTGTCAGGCATGCGGTGAGAAATACATTGGGGAAACGGGTAGACCGTGGTGTCCGCATAAAAGAATACCTGGATGGGGAAGATAGAATCCGTTAAAACACACCTCTAGGTATGCATAGGGCACAAAAGCACAATGGCGATGATTTTGAAGTGACTGTGCGGATCCTAGCGCAAGAATCGAAAACATCAACGAACAAAACTCTTGAGTCGTTTTGGACAAATTTCGAAAATCCAAAGATGAACCGGAAAGACGAATGTCTCACTATCACATGTGACATGGCGCCCTATTTTAAAATGATTTTTTGACCCGAGTGGGCGTCGCTCGCCATCCTGCGTGAACAACACGCCGGCAGTCCCATTCATAAAAGCACGGTGAGTAGCTTTTTGATTAATATGCTGTTTATTTATTTGCTAGATCTTCATTTATGCTATAGATATTTCACTTACATTAATGTACGTCCAAGCTCTGAGGAAGGCGAAATCGCTGAAACGTCAGCCATCGGCCGACAACTCCAGCAACAACGAAAACGTCGACTTATACCAACCTCGCATCGGCTTAACAAGATCAGTTCATAAGAAGATATAAATAAATATACCAATTCTACTGAAAAGAGTTTTCGTATTTCACATTACGAATCGATTTATAGCCATTGCAGTGCCGATAAATCATCAGCAGTTGTCATTTCTGTCATCAGATCAATCATCCAATCCGTCTTAACCGTTAAGAAGAAACAGTTTACGTAGTTTCCACAAAAAAAAAGAACTTCAGAAAACGAAAAAAATTCGATTGTAGGCAAATTTGTGAAGAAAAGCCGTGAATAAAAAGAAATATTTTGCGATTTGGTCACGTGTTTGTATCTGTCACTAATTATACTTATTTGATACTTGAACGACCCGTCCTTACTAGTTGTGTGGGCTCCAGTACAGTCACCATTTTGAGAAAAATTGCTGGTTAAGCCATTGTGGTACCTTGGAATTTCGAGGGCAGCGCCGACAGTGCCGTGTTAGCTCAGCTGTTTTTGCAGAGCTACGTGTCTTGGCGAATTTCGAACATGGAGTTGATAACGGCATCTGCCCAAGAACTGAGGAAAGATCTGAATAAATCCCAAATTGCAGTGGTTCTGCGATTTCGTTATCTGTCTGATCTTTACGTCTTTCTCTACCTCTCACAGAAGAAATGGAATCTTAGGCGAAAGAGACGATGTTGTGGTCTCGCGCAAATTTTGCGACGTCGGTTAGCAAGACCTTCGATCTACTATGATGTGGTCTACTTTGTTATGGCACTCTCTATTGAGAGACTTTCACATCCAGCGTTGAGAGTGGAGCTTCTGAAATAGTGTGCTACGATGGAAGGTCTTGGTTGTTATTCTAAACCCGGACACCCACTCATGCTGTTCGCTGCTTTCTAATTCATGAGTCCCAGTGTAACCCTCCTTTGTCCAGTCTTGACCTTGAATTCACCGGTGAGGACCTTAACTCAGTTGTAGCATTCTCTTTTGAACTTCTCCAGGGCCATCTAGAACGTTTCTGCGTTGTCTTTCTCTTACACTGATGTGGGTGCGTGGACGACGAGCACAGGGTGGCATTGTTCTCATCTTATTATAAGGTTCTCATCTTATTGTATCCATACATCTTCAACCGTAAGCCTCCAATTCAGGTTTGTTTGCTGTTCATAGGAATCGATGTGTACATCCAAGTGGTATTCACGAGGAAACCAACGCAGCCGAATCTTCTAATGTTACATGTTCCAAGGATAACTTTTCTCCGGTCATAAGGGCGTTTTATGGGGGTGTTTTCTCGTCTCGAGCAGAGCGATGGCGTTGTATCTTAGCCTTTTAGGTTCCATCATCAGATCATAAGTGAAGTACTCAGGTGCTAGGGAGCATACGTTTTTTGTAGTGGAGCCTCTACGTTAAGCAATCGTACATGACAAAAAGCCGATAGCAATCTCAAATATTTTGAAGACTTTTATTAAAACTGAATTAAGACACACATCAAAGAACCTATGACAGTAAAGCGGGATTGAATAAGTACTATTCACGTGCACTGCATCATTAAGATTAAGCCGTCTATACAGTTGCTCTCTGCGATGACGATATGGTCCAAACCGGCAAAGATTATAATCCGGAGTAGCCTTGAAGAGCTACGAATGGCCGGATCTTCAAAATAAATTTATCACGATAGATTTTGCACAAAATCAGAATGAAGACAGAAACTTGCCTGGACGAAATTCTCTAAATATCTTAAGACTTTGAACGGGTTCTTTCAACACCTTTTTAATGATCTAAACGCGGGATGAATGTTTCTTTAAGTCATCTTTAAGAAGGCTGTCTTAAACACGAAAGCAAAAATAAGTTTATTAAGATTTTAAATATACACCGCATCAGGGCAGGATAGGATAGAAAACAATATAATGTCGTATTGAACACAAATATTCTCACGAACCTGTGAAGAGTCTTTGATTCTAATCTTCCTAATCTTCATTGTTTATACTGCTCACTTTACCCAGCGAACTAGAATTGAAACAACAATCACAACGTTGCTGAGATATTTGCAAAACTCTGGACCGCAGGTGTCTATGGTGGGGAACGAACGCGCTATTGTCCTTTCCAGGGTGTTACGCGTTTTGGCAAAAAGATCGATAGAAATAGCTGAGAGACGTGCGAAACAAAGGACCCGCATGGTGTGGTGGTGAACGCGTTACTCCCCGGAAAGGATAATAGCGCGTTCGTTCCCCACCATAGACACCTGCGGTCCAGTGTTTTGCAAATATCTCAGCAACGTTGTGGTTGTATTTCGCTTAGTAACTTGCCATGAAAATTATAGAAGGCAGAAAACAAAACGTTAAACATTGAAACAACAATGTTGATTTCCACCAGTAACACTTTTAAGAGTAGAATGTAACGATTTCGTCGTAAAAGATGAGGAATAAGAATAAGATGAAGAAGTAAGGGAAAAGTTAATAGGTATCGGCGCCAACAGAACATCGGCCGATCACTTCACTTTCTGCATCTTCGCGGATATTTTCTTGTTAAAGTTGTTGAGCATTTTCGTATAATCGGCCATGTACTGAGCGAATTTATCTTTTCTATCAATGATGCCTTTCTGAAAAAGATGTTTAAGATTTAAAGAATAAGGTTAGTACAAAAGAAGAATCAACGTAAGAAGAATCAATCACAAAAGGAGTTGAACAGCTGCCAGCGAAGTGGTACGTTCGTCTATGTAGAACGCTCCAAGCTGCTCGGTTAGCCAGAGTAGCTCGACAAACGCGAATTGCTTCGTACTTTTTCTGCGAAGTGTTTCATTTAGACTGATTTTAGAGGAAGCTCCATACTGGATAATTGGTTGCGCTCCACCATTAGAATGTGCTGTTTCTTAACTGGCCAATAGTAATGGCAAATTTGGCACAAGAGTTTCTATCAACCACGGTGGAACGGCAAACAAAATTGATTGGGATAAATGGAAACCAAGAATTGTATTTGCCACGGATTTCCAACGTTAACCCAGGACAACCATCTCTCAGAGGTTACGAAACGTTACTCTCCCAATCTTTCATGCATTTCTTCCTATATCTAAAAAATAAAGTCTCAAATATATAGTTCTAAGTTTGAATTCAACGGAAAGTTGTACAAAGTTAAGGGGTTCGCTTTGTATTGCACAAGACTTTTGTTTGCTATCCGCTCGTGATGTGCCGTGCAACTTCGTGGTTGATGAGCTGCGTTGTGCTACAGGAAGTTTGCTTATAGACGATGCAGTCCATGTAGAGAAGTAGTGTGCAGCTATGAAGAAGCCTAACCAAAAACGATCTTGTGCCTGGAATACTTGCCAACCTGGCCTCTGCATACAGTTTTTCCAGTATGGTAAAAAAGCCAGAACAGTTTTCGATACGTAAAAGCTAGACGGTACTTGTGAAGGCGATTCGAGGACATTTTAAGCCGTCTATCTTATAGATTTCGTTACGTGGATAAAGGATTAAGCTATCACTGTTGATCATTTTTGGAGATGCACCATTCAACAAGCTTTCCTCAAGCATCATTAGAGGTGATTGAATGCATATCTAGCCAATGCAGGGATCTCGGTGGTTACAGGTATACTAAGTCAGTTCTACCGTGTTTACAGATAAGTCTCCGGTAGCAAAGTGTTGGGCCTGGAGCAATGGAAAGCTTTAAGAGTTAAAGACGCAGGGTCGCAGCAAAAACCCCGTTGGTATTGCAGCGCAGTTCTAACAATTGCACTACACGTGCACCACGTTCTTAATATAAGCGAAACATTGTTGGTTAAAAACATAATCAGTCTAAAGTTTTTAAGGTCTCCTAGCAAAATTACATAAAAACCCACATCTGCGAATGCTTCTAGCAAACAAATGTGCAAAAATATGTACTGGATGATGCCTTGGACGCTTTGGAACCGCTGCTTACGCAGTTCCTTTAATACCTCTACCATACTCGTCGATGAATCCTCTTTGATTTTCTGCATAGCGTAATCTATACCTGCAAAACGTTCATAATCTTCATGATCGTTTAGCGATTGTTGACAGTATTGTTTAGAAAACTCTCGGCGTTGACCAATCTCAGAGGGATGCGCCATGCATTCGACTTCATTAAGCATCGTTTAGAGGTGATTGAATGCATATTTGACCTTTACAATAACTCCCGGTGGCCTGCCGATATATTGAGCCAGTGCTGCTATCCCAGCTACAAGTCTTGCGCTAATTTGCTGATCCCGGAAGCATGGAAGGCTTGGTCAGCCATGGGCGCAGAGGTCGGTTCCACGTGTGCGTTGCAGGGCGCCTCCGACCACTGCGCCACACGCGCCCTCATAACCCAATAACAGGTATGTTACGAGAAAATCGCAAATTGAAACGAATCATTTCGGGCGAGACTTAGAAGGAAGTACCATGCAAGTGATGACAAAGTGGCTACTCACCTATAAACGTCGCTGATCGCCCTATTCCGGCCGAACAGTGAACAGTGATTGGATTCCCTTTGGAAAGCGATCGTGCCATTTTTAACATTCCAACAATAGGTCCAGGGTCAAGGGGAGCAGTATGATCAGGCCATTCCGAGCAGGCCAAGTGATGAATCTCGATGGAATTTCTGGGAATTTTACTTGATTAGATAAATACCACACTTTGAAAAATACTAGAATATTTTCAAGAAATCTCCTAAATGCTTTCACAATGTTAACTATTTATTCACTCCTTAGTGCTATTTCTCACGGCAGGGATGTGTGATACAACCACAATGATATTTGCAAATCTCCGGACCGCAGGTGTCTGCGGTGGAGAACGAACACGCTATTCCCCTTTCACGGGGCAAACGCGTTCACCATCACACCATACAGATCCCTCGTTTCGGTTTTCTCTCAGCTAGTTTTATCGATCAATGCCATCAACAATCACCCTGCCGTGAAAATAGTGTTAGGCTGTACATAAAAGTTAACATCACGATTTCGACTACAGCCTCAGTTTGACTGGGTTCGTTGCCGATTTGGGCTACTCAGATCAATCCCGTTGACGGGTGATTGCATATGGCACTGATCGATAGAACTAGCTGAGAGACAGACGAAACGAAAGACACGCATGGTGTAGTGGTCAACGCGCGAGTCCAAGGAAAGGGTAGTAGCGGTTTCGGTCCCCAACTAATATATCTGCGGTCCGGAGTTTTACAAATATCTCACTATCATTGTGGTCGAATTGCTTTCCTCAAAGAGTAAAAACGCTCTCATTCAATCTCCATTGTGGCGCGGGAAGAGAAACAAAAACAACCTTCACAATCAAATCCTAAGTTTAAACCAATGCAGGAAAGTGATTTGCTAACGTTTTCAGAAAATCAAGGCGAGGATGACTATCCTGGGACGTTTGAAATGGACAGATGACGTAAGGATGTTATTTTCGTTACGGAAAGGAAGCACTCACGATTTTTCTCGTTTCAATGTGAAAATTTTATAATTGACTGTATTAAAAGGATTAGGCATGGTTTCTCGTAAGAAGACTCTATACGGTCCAAACTTCCCGCATTCAGTCTTCGTCTTTGGGTGATAGAGAGCACATTTTTCGTTTTTTCCTAAACAATCTAATGCATATTCAAAATCATGCTGTGTACTGTTAATGAAATTAATACTGCTATTGACACTTCGTACACCGCCGGCACACGACGCTGTGTTTCGGTTCTATTTGTGTATGCACAGAGTCTTGCTCGATTCTGCACTTCAATGACCTGTTAGTGGCCCGGTACGCACTAGAGACCGATGATTTCCTAGTTAAATTGTCTCCAAAGAATTAAGAAACAACGACCGATTCTCAGTTTTTCATAACTGCTTACCTTCCTTAAATGCACACAACATCACAATGACAGTACTCTTCTCGGTGAAAATCATCTGCCAAAAATCAACTAGTGTCTCTTGGATTGGACCCTAAAGAAGAACTATTATAAATTTAAACTTGAATATTACTCTAGAACTATCAGTTGCAAAGACGTCGTAGACCTTTACGAAAGAAGCCGCTTTTAACGTACTAATAGTCGGGCGAATTTGCTAATAAGAATTATACAATTAATAGGGTCTTATCGCTAAATGACACTTAGCTTTTCATACCGTTTTTAAGGCGTTGGTCGACAAACCGTAGAACTAGCTATAGTAAGATATGTAGCGCTAAGTGTGGAAAAATTCGATCGCAAGGCAGCAACTTCGCTTGAATCCACAAGCATCGGCATCATCAGGTAACGACGACCTGGGTACCATCCTACACGACTATTTCGGTATCACAGAGAAAATCACGTTCGATCCTTATTCACCATGATCTTAAGAGGGATAGGTGCCAATTCGCAAGGTGAAGTCGGATCCGAAATGTAAACACTACTACCTATGCGTATGAGATACGCTAGAGGGCCAGAACAAGCAATACTTGGACCCACGCGACGTGTGGAGAAGGGTCATCTGAGAATGCCTAGTAATAGAGTTCTTGTAATGTTTTCTGTAGAAATACATTCGCAAAGTATTTGTATGAAATATAAATTCTGTACGAAGACATATTAGAGTGTTTGCTTGCTGTCACCGCGCCTGTTGATGAAAAAGGGTAGAAGTGTACCATATCAGATAAGTTGTAGTGTAGTGCAGAGGAAATCTCCTTTGAACTCTATTCCTCCATTTTGTCACCAACGATTCACCTTATATATATATATCAAATCGCTGGAGATAAAGTAGGAGTAATCACCTGTGTACAAATGTATTTCGTTTGGTCAGGCATTATCATCCAATTCGCGTGGATATAGTCGTCGTCCGGTGGTCGTTCTTTTAGAATCACTCTAGTCGAATCGATACATATCACATCGTCATATCTAGAATCAACATTAGAACCTTATTGAAGCGCCCCTCATTCCAACATAAAAGTTCAGAAGCAAATTTCCCAACAAAAACAATTTATTCATCAGTCAATCAATAATTAATTCAATTAATCAACTTTTGTTTTGAAGCGTTCCTATTTTCTACATTGTCATGAGTTTCCTTTACTAATTCCATTGACTGTTAACTGCTCTCAGCCTTGCGTCATATCGCTTAACAATGTTGCATTTAGAACTTTCTCTAAACTTTCCTTTTCCAGTCAAATAGGATTTCTTCGAAGACTTTTTTATGTTAGTGAGATGAACTTTTTTGTAAGTGTTCCCATGTCGATCTGATGAACCTCCTCGTAATTTATATCATTCTTGCCTCTAAACTCCTTGAACGAGCGCAGCTTTTGTGTGTCCTGTTCAAAGCTTGCCACATACCGTAACACGAATAGAAAAGGTTCTTTGTAGGAGCCAATCTTCTCATCTGATGCTGGAGCTTTCTGGGAAACCCAGAATATACGCTAAATAACGCCTACTCTACAATTCTTTTAGGCGGCCTTATGAAACACTATCCTATCCGCTTGCTTAGGGTCCTTGCACTCATCACATCCATATTCCTGCTTTATTCCAATAGTTAAATTGTACTTTCATTTAACCATTATCGTATCTTACCGTACTAGAGCTAATATAACCTCAAATGTGTCATCTATTACGTTCATCTCATGATTAAAGATTTCGTCTTCATTATGAATGTCGTAGAGTATCGGTCGAGTCTCTTTCCAATCTCGGAGATAACGGAGAGAGCCTTGCTAGGGTTCTGTCACGTGGACTGAAGTAGAGCGTTGGGCTTGGTCCGAACCAGGACCTTGCTTCCTGATGGAATGCGCCACTAACCAATAGGCTGCCCTACTCGTCCTATTATCTCATGTTTGTTGTTGCTATTTTTGTTGTTATTCCCACAAGCTGTTTAATTTCCCACGTCTAAGATTTCGCTCTGTGGCAACGTCAAAAGTCGCACTTGGTAATTTATGAAAGCCGAGTATTCCGTTCCAAGAACTACTTACTACATCCTCTAAGAGAACTACCACCGTATGCCATTTTGAATGGTGCTGACGCGAAACTAGTCGTTATGGGGTTGGGTTGAAAAAGTAAACACCAGATCTCTCAATTATTTTTAAGCGTTTTTTTTTCAAAATTGTTCTGCTGTGGCAAAAACGACGGATCTTCACAGCACATCATATTTCGTAACCAGAGAGTGCTTCACCTATTTTTTGCTTCATGTTTCTTAAAAGCTTCTGAAGTGTAGCCTGAAGGTGTGTACTTTTTATTCTTTATGAATTCCTTTCTCAGAATCGTTGTATTCTAAACGAAGTAGTTAAAAATTCTGCTAAAGTAAACGCCACTTTTCAGTTGTGGGAACACCTTTATTGCAGACTTCACCACATAACGCACGCACGGCGATTAGCGGCCTTGGTAGCTTAGAATGACGCCTGTTTTTCAGCCGTTATGACTTCCAGGATTGGTGACAGTAGAAGATAATTTCTCGACAAATCGAGAAGAGAATGCTTGGCAACACATCATATCATTACAACGGAAAAGACCATGCTCTATCTGTGCGTATGAATTTAATGGTGCTGCTATTTTCTACGGGTTGCTTCGGTCAGACAACCAATACAGTGCTATCTGCATGCGCATGTGTTTTGCATAACCTGTTGGGGTTATTCGGGTATTTCTCAAACCTGCACATTTTCTACAGTAGCCATGATTTAGCACAACGATTAAAATAAAATAACACTTAATTGCTAGTCCAATCATGGGTCAACCAACTTATCCTAATAACGGCAATAACGACATGCATGTCATTCTATGCACAGATATATATATTCGTCCATATCGTCCGTTATGCTTTACAGTTTCCCACTTAAACATTAGCTTTCGCAATAGCTACGCAAGCCGCCTGTCCTCCTCTACTACAGTATTCGCACTTACAGTGTTTGTTAATAAGTTTGTGCTCCATTTGTAACGATTGTCTTCCAGAGTAACATCCTAAATGAGAAAGACTGTCTTTAAAATGAAAGTTTTAAAAGCTTTTAAACAGTGTCAACTTTTTATCCAGTGCTCATTTTTCTTCTTCACGGCAGTGTGTGATGTGAAATTCAACCATTATGACCCTGAGATATCTGCAATGCTTGGACCTCACGCCAGATCGAGCAGCGATTACCTTCTCTCACTTCTTAAATAGTTTTGTTCAATAATTGACGAAGTATCGTCTTTTCAATGATACTGAGATATTTGCAAAACTCCGGACCGCAGGTGTCTGCTGTGGGGAACGAACGCGCTATTGTCCTTTCCGAGTAGTAACGCGTTCACCACAGCACCATACGGGTCCTTCGTTTCTCTTGCCTCTCAGCTAGTTCTAGTCATTCTCAGATTGCCGACTCTGGCTCCTCAGATCGGCCCCGCTGATGGATAGAACTAGCTAAGAGACAGGCGAAACGAAGCATCCGTATGGTGTGGTGGTGAACACGAAAGAACAATAGCGCGTTCGTTCTCCACAGCAGACACCTATGGTCCGGAGTTTTGCAAACATCGCAGCATCATTGAAGTTATATTTCGCGGCATACCCTGCCGTTAAAAACAGTAGGCAGGAAGTAAAACGGCTAAGATTATGACAACGCCTTTATAACTCGTTCTCACGAAAATCATCATCTGACTTTCTTCTGATTATTTTTTAAGTTTTATCTACTGGGGTTATGGAAGTGTTTGGCTGGCTAGATCGCATCTCAATTTGACCTTTCGAGGCTCTGAAGAAGGTGAAACCGCCGAAACGTCAGCTATTGTACCCTAATAAATTCTATAAAAACAACCTCGTGTGTGCTTATTGAAGAAAAACATCGAATTATCAATTATTGCCGAGGTTAACAGAAAGTCGGTCATAGGGTTAATATTATCTTCTTTTCGCTTTTTGTCGTGCAACTCTCAACTCACCGATACTGCAGTGCTTGGCGCTGGGGCGGCAGTTTTCATTTGTTCCATCTAAAAATACGGTATGGATACCTTTTCTCACCCAGCACAATAATCAAAATTTTGCCATGCGACTTTTATTCTAACTATAACAGCATTCCCCACCCATGGTAAAATATGTTTCAACTTTAAATGTGCCACCAGCGACACAACACTTTCTCGTGTCTGAAGCAGAGCTGATTTTTACGAACGAGCGGTTTCAGTTTGGCTATCATGTGTAAAATCCGCCTGAGAGAAGACAAAGCAACGCATTTTCGAGTAACTTTGGTTCTAGTGGCCTTATTGCTATAACCGTATGCCACATATCATCCCACTGATCTCCAACTGAATAAAGCGCATGCTATTAAAGTCGTTAGTGACTCTTTATCGCATACTACTTAGTCGACTAGGTTCTGCTGACTTAATGCACGCGATGAGTTCTAGCTGTTCTTATTCATACGCTTCATAAAGTATTCTATTCATCAGATCATGTGCCTTGCTATTGCCCGCTTGATGGACTGACAGCGTTTTTATAGTTCCTAAACGGTTATCGTCAACGCACAGCACTTTTATGGTCCTGCTGATTTTACGCAACTTGGCGTGTGCGGCAGCATCCTTTCACTTGACTAGTTTCCGGTTGCATCCACGCGTAGGAGAGATCTTCATAGGCACTAGTCCTCTTATGCTCGTAAACTATTTTAAACGAATAGTATGGCGCAACAATGACAGAGAGCTTTTTTCCTGAATCTACTTATGTTTTGGAGGACGGATGTTCCTTCTTACGGTCTGCATTTAAGCCCTCTTCACCAACTGGGTATGCGTAACGAAGACTCGTAAATAACTGGTTCCCTGCTTTCCCACTTGATGTAAGTTTATTAAATGGAAAGCTGACACTCTTAAAATCCAGGTAAAGCAACTAGTTAAACTCTTTTTGTCTTGATTTGTGTATTCTGTTATGTGACACCAGTTTAAATGGTAAAAATCACTACTGTTGACTACTCGTCTGGAATAGTCTCTCCACCCATTGTGTTGATTTAATGCATACATTGTTTTTTTCTCATTCCTTTTTCGCATTAAGTTGTGAATCGAACCATCCCCCACCTTACTGGCAGTGCCTTGCGCTCGTTCTGCAGTGGTGCCACATGAACGAATGCCTTTATTTCTACGGACGTCTGATGTACCTGAAAGTACCAAAATTGTCTCTGATTAAATCGCATCTTTTCTTGTTCATGATATGGCCCAAAACAAACTTTTAAATACTCCATCAGCTTCAGATTTTTGCTTGTTCTTCCACAGTTTCTTCTGAAATCTTTTCTTTATCACGACAGTGGTTTATCATGGCTATGATAAACGTTGGAAAGATCTCCTATAAATACCTCCGCTGATCGATCCCCTGCCTTTGATTCCATTTATGTAAATGAGACTTACCAAGGCTGCTATTGTTTCAAAGTGGTGTGTCTTGAAAATAACGGAATATAACGATGCCATAAAAGAGATTTCAACAAACATGAGAAACAGTTAGCGGTGTTGAAATTCCTCGTGTAACCATCGTTAGTCACCACACTTTCCTCTCTCAACAGAACTTTATCACTATAATCGTACTTCTATTCTTCTTCCTCCTCATTATCATCATTATCTCCATCATCATCAAGAACTGCTTTCTACATATATTGTAGTGAACAAAAAACAGTAACTCCCTCGTCCGACTTTCTATTAACCTCGGCATTGATTGAATAAAACTTTCTAGTTCTGTTCAGCAAACACGAGGTGCTACTTTATTTCTCTACTTACGTAGAAGCTGACGTTTCGGTGGATTTCGCCTTCCTCAGAGCCTGGAAAGGTCAAGTTGACTGCAATCTGAACGGCCAAACATCTCCATAACCAAACAGAGAAAGTGCTGAACCAAAATTTCAATCACATTGAACACAGAGTCTTTGCACACTCACCGTTTTCTATAAGTCTTCCACTAAATATGTCACGTGGAGAACAACCGCACTGGGTTCACACGGAATCGTACTGTGTCCACCTCACCAAAATAGCAGGCTTATATACTGCCCAATATCACGCGTGACAATGAGGCATTCCTCCCTGCGGTTCATTTTCGGATTCTTGGAATTAATCCAGAATGCCTCTAGAGTTTTGCGCGCTTGTGTTCTCGATTCTTGCGCGAGGATCGTAACCCCACTTCAAAATTTTCTCCGTTATGTCTCTGCGTCCTATGCGTGCCTAGTGGAGTATTTGGTTTACGTTTGCCGACTAGGTGTTCTTTTATGCGGACACAGAGGGGTCTACCCGTTTCGCCAACGTATTCGTCCCCGCACGCTTTACAAGAGATCAGATATACTATACCCGAGCTCATGCAATCACCTTCTCTACCATTGGGGCAAATTATGCAATTATGCGTTGCACATAGACGATTGTATAGGCGGTTAAGAACTAGCCGGCGTCTTAAATTACTCGGTGGCATTTCAATTATCGTTACCGATTTCTCTAGACCTGCCCTTCTTAAAAAGGGTTTTATAGATGCACTTACTTCATTTGAAATGTGGGGCAGGATGAACAGGACTTTATTGCCGCTAGAGTTATCGTTGGGGTACCTGTGGTTTTCTCTACACATATTTCGAGCTACAGTTTCGTAGCCATTAAAAATGGCTATTTGCCGCGCCAAGTTCCGGGACTCCCCTCTCTGCTCTCTTCCTCTGCAGACTCTGGTAGTTGTTCGAAACATGTTTCTCACAAGTGCCCTTTTCGTGTGAGAGGGGTGAGAGGAGAGGTAATGAACCAAGATGTTTTACTACTTGGTTTTCGATACAATTTCGCAATGTAGCCGTTTTCCGAAAGGTTAATTTGCACGTTAAAAACTGTAAACTACTGCAAACAATAAGATAAAAACTTAAAAACCGAACTCTAAGTGAATAACAAAGCAACGACAAGGAGATGGAAATAAGAAGAATATAAGGT